CAAGGGGCCCAAGTTTCTCACGAGCCGGCATCGGAGGCTTCCTCAGAGCACAGATGTGGAGAGGCAGGGGCGTCCCTAGCTGGCCTGCACCTCCACGCCTAGACTCGCACAGGGAATCGTGCGTGTGGCACTCAGGCACGGCGCTGCTCGCAGGACTAGCCTCTTGCTCTGAGGATTCTTAAAGGATGAAAGGTGCCATGGGGAGGATGCCTGCGAGAAAGTCACCTCAATCTGAATCGCTATGGATAGGGTGGGGACTACAACCCCCACTTTAGCGGGCCCTCCTCCCTTCCACCCCACCAACTCATACCCGCGGCACCTGGCCTAGTGCAGATTCCTGAACTCCCCACGGTGACCTATGCGAATGGGGGAGGGAGGCCTGGGCTCCATCTTGGCCACGTGCACAGTAACACCGCCAAGGTTCAAGCTCCAAGAGCCCGTGGTACACCTCAGCCCCTAGAACACGGGGCTGTCAGGGAGACAGTGCCACAGGTGAAACGGCAGAAAGCGAAAACGGAATTCCTGGCTCGAAGCTGAAGAAAACAGGAAAGCGATGGCGCTAAGGCTAAGTGCTAAGGGTGGGGTGCTGGGAAGGGAGAGTCAGGGACACTGGGAACCAGGGGTCTGCCAGACAGTGAGACACCTGGTACCAGCATCTCAGGGGCTCTCAGCACCTTCTAGGAGTGGGAAGTGGGCAGATGGCTGCTTGAGGGCCAGGCCACTTGGACCTGCATCACAGAGCAGGGAGCCCCTAGGGCCAGGCAGCACGGCCGGGACGGGGCACTACTTGCTGCCCATCTAGAGCAAGAGAGAGGCAGCAGCAAAGCCCTTCCCTCTAACCTCCCCTCGCTTCCCGCCTGTGGCTAGGAAGGCGGGACCCAGACACCACACCATCCTCAGCCAGATGAGCAGCCTAGGGGCCCGCCCAAAGCAGCTGCCTGGAGGGAAAAGCGCTTTACTTCAGGGTGGAAGAGGAGATGGGGTGATGGGGAGAGGGCAACGGGAACCAAATAGTGTGGGACACCCTTCTGTGCCGCCAGGGTGCTGGTTCTCATGCTTGAGTGAGCCCACGAAGTTCCTGGGGGGCCTTGCTGGAAACAGTCCTGGGGATCTGATCAGGTGGGTCTGGGGTGAAACAGATTTAAACAGACACCCCTAGTGATTCCCAAGCTGGTCCCCAGAGCAACTTTGGGAAGAGTGGACTAGACCATTATGCTGAGGGCATGTTGAGAGAGCACCTCTTCCCGTAATAAGGACTTTGGTGGCAAAGGGACAAGGACAAGGGCTGAAGGCAGCCAAGTCCACTCTGCAGCCTGAGGGCCGTCTTTCAGAGCTGGAGGCGCTGTCATCCATCAGTCCTGTGGCAGCTGGGGCACCAGCAGGCACTTGGCTTCTCTACTGCCACTTCACGGAGAGGGACACCAAGGCGCAGAAAAGAGGAGGGGATTAATCCTGGTTGAACCACTGCCTGCAGCAGTGTGGGGACAGGATCCCAAGTCCCCCAAGTGCAAACCTGTCCTGTCCGCTCTGCTCCGTAGACCCGGGCTCAGCACAACACAAGGGCTGTGACTGGTGGAAAACGCCAGGCCCCCTCCAGGGAAACACTCCTCCCCTGTCTGGGAGCTGCAGGAGGATAACCTTTCTTGATTGCTCTGTGCCAAGGGGTTCTGCTTGCCTCATCCTAAAGGAAGGCCTTGGGAGGAGATAGAGAAAGTCTCTGATGCGAGTCTCCCATTTGAAGTTGAGGCTTCCCTGCTTCTGCCATGGAGCCAGGGGGATAGATCCCAGAGCCAGGCCAGCTGTCCCTAGACCTGCTCATCCCAGGCCCCTCACCACGTGTCTACCCCACGCCACTCAGGCTGTGGGCAGCCCGCTGGGATGCTCCCCAGCTACCCAGGGGCTGGAGTGCTCCTTTAGGCCCCCTACCCCCAACCGTCTCTCCCACTTCAGAAAAGTCCTCCTGCCACCAGAACATGGGGTGAAATCTTTCGTGATAGAATCATCTCCTGAAGCACCTTAAAATGAGTTTGAGATGCGAACCCTCCTGCATACTCAAGTGCTGTGAGGTTGCGCCCAGCCTAGGGGGGGCCTCGGTAAGCAGGCTGTGCGCCTCCTGACCCCCCGCCTCCCTGGGATGTGGGCTGAATTATCTTGTCACTGCCGCTTCCCAGTGCTTAGAGAGTCCCCACCAAGCGAAGACTCTAGGGCAGCCTAGAATCCCAGGGCCTGTCACCATGATCACGAGGGCCAGGGCAGCAGGGGGTCTCCAAGGCAACCCCCCAGGGTCCTGCTCTTACAGGAGCGCTTTATCAGGACAGCCCAGGGCCTCTTGGCTGGGGTGGGGACACAGGAGTCTGTGGCGCGGCTCTAGGACGCAGTCCGTCAGGACCTCCACGGGTTCCCTGTAGGACGGGATGGGCGGCTTCTGGGTCACGGCCTCCTCCACGCGGAGCGCTCCCATCTTCTGCTTCCTGAGCCCCGCCCCTCGTGCGGGAGGAAAGGGAGGGTACAGTCAGACAGAGAAAACCGGTCAGATGATAATCCCCTCCCCACAACCAACTGTGCCCCAAGGTATGTTTGGTGAAGAATCCCTGGCAGAACAGACTGGAGACGGACAAGGGCTGCTCTCTGTAGGCCTGATGGAGTCCCACTCTGCTGACTTTCACCCTGGGGCAGCGGAGCTCATGGGCG